TAGTTGGTAGCAGGGCTGAATTTTCTGAAGACCTCCTGTTGTCTCTCTTTGGTGAAATCAATCCATTCAATTCTACTTCATTGCCTTCTGGGACTTAGCAGAAGTTATGTCCTCCAGAGAACTCAAGTTAGAGCTCTCTTTGTGATGCAGTAAGATAATTTTGCCTGGAAATCTTCAGAAAATGACTGGAGCACTTCTGTGAATGAATTCCACACTGCTTTAGTTGCTTACCTTGTTTTAGGAACTCTGGTAATTAGCAATTTAGCAATTTCTGGTCCTTTGCTCAAAGGATGCCATCTTTCACATATACATATAAAATACATGCAAATAAAGTGTGCAATCTTTTGTTTTTCAGTTTCGTTGTTCTTGTAGGTTGATGCCTTGTATGTTATTTGTGTTTACTGACCAAGAGATCAGAGAAGCAGGAGAAAATCCAAGTCTGCTTTTATTCACAGCACAATAACAGTTGTAACTACTGCAGCGCATATTTTAGAATAGGTTACTATGGAATGAACTTGCATAAAAAGGAACTACAAGGTCCCAGTCAGAAAGATCTCCTACAGTTCCATCAGGTCTGTCTCATCTATTTCAGGCAACCAGTACTGTAAATTTTCTGAGTGCATTTTTCAGTGCTTGATCTGCTTGCATCGGTCTTGCATCAATAACACAAAAGCTACTGTAGCTACAGCAAAGAAAGATGAATCTTATTTCAAAGAGCTGCTTTACAAACCAAATCACCAGAAAGCACTTTGTCTTGCATGCCTCCTGTTTGGAGCGCCTAATAAAATTACTCCTTTCTCTGGCAGTTTTATATGTAGCATAGGAAGGTTATCTGCACACCCATTTTTTTTTTCATCCTGTGAAAATCAATTTATGTGCACATAAAAGTCCCTGCATATTATGAAATTGTTATCTAACAAAACTTTGCATTAAGAAATGTCGCTGTTTGAGACTGATTCCTCCCCTCTCCATCAGTTTTTTTATAGCTCTTTTTAAATTTACAGTTACATTTTTTTCCCTCAGCTCTGTCCAATGTAGTCTGGCTTTGGTATCTTCTGTCTTAAAAATGAAGCCTATCCATGGAATATAGTCAGTGGTGGTAAGAGCACTGCCCACGGCAGTGGAATGGCTGCCTCCTTTGACCTGAATGGACTGTTGGGTCGGTTATTCACTCACTCTAAGCCTGTTCCTCTTCTCTGCTGGATCTGTATACGGGATCACTCAGATGTTACAAGTGGTTTCTTGATAGGTGTTTTGGGATGAGACTGGCACAATCACATTTACCTTCATTTAGCAGCTGTCAGGTAGACTTGTGGGTAATTAGGGACAAACCTGGATGAAGGGATTATCTCTTACCTTTTTTCTGTTCCACCAGCTGATGTTCATGGGGCCTCCTTTCTCTCATAATCTTAGTGGTGGGTACCTGCCACATGTGACATACAAAAGAACTGAGTGATAAGTTTTAAAAAACCATTAGTGCATACACAGTCTTGCACAAAAGTGTTTCTCTTTCAAATTAAAAAAGAAGCATAAAAATATTTCTGGTCACTATGTTATTAGGTATACATTTCATGTTCTGTGTTTTTCTGTAAAGAGAAAATGTAGCTGTTTGGATATTTACTACACTAAATGGAGAAACAAGACGATAGTGCAAGATACAGAGATTTTGGATATCTGCTTCGCTTTTTTCTGCTTCATGTTAAGCACACACAAAATAGAAAAAAACCCATAATTTTTGTGTGGCATATTGTCATGATTAAAGTGAGTTTTAATCTTTCGGATAAAACTGTTACTGAAACTCTATACAAAAAGCATACAATTTCCATAATGAAACTATTGTTTGTTCTTAAATCTTGGAAAATGGATTTAAGGAAAAAGTTTGATTGGTAATATCAGCTCTTATTCATTGCATATAAGTTTATAAATGACTTAGAAGCTGAAATTGAAATTGCAATTAGATCTGCCCACATCCTAATTACTCCAGTACACATCTCTAATGCTTATATCAGTTTATTTCTGGAGAGGAAAAAAAAAAGCAAGGATTTATCCAAATATTTAACTATCTTTTATTTTTTTTTTTCCAATAAGAAAAGAGAAAAGGTCTCTGGACCTAACAAAATGTAACAATTTATTACTAGAAAAGAAGAATTTCAGATCAACTTCTGCTATCTATCCATTGTTTGTGTAGAGAGGCATTTGCTGCTGATACACCTTTGCACTTCTGCAGCACTCCTCAGATGAGATCCTTACAGCACCCAGAAAGTACGAAATGGATTTCTTATGAAACATATTTTTTAATGCCAGAAAATAGTGAACTGAGAAACAAAGGTTGTGATTCAGCAAAGTTCTTACCATCATGGCTAATTTTAATGTTATAATTTCTAAGGCAGTAAACAAGATTTGACTCAGATAAATTGCATTTTGTTTACATGCAGTGTTTGCATTAAAATTCCAGCATTTAAAAGAGAGTAAAATGTATTTTTATATATACATATATTTAAAGTGTCTGTCACAGTACTGCCACCTACCTTTACTTTTATCATAAAAGTTTGAAAGTGTTTTAGTTAAGTCTTTTTTCAGAAAATCCTAAGACATCCCTTTCACTTATTATGTTGACTGCAAAATCACCAGTCTTGGTTTTTTGTTTGAGTGTGTGTTGGTGTTTTGCTTGGTTGGTTGGTTTTGTGGTTTTTTTCTTTGTTTGACTGGGGAATGAATTTCTTGGTCAGGGAGATGAGGTAAAGCAGTTTCCTTAAAACAAGCTTTATTAAGCTGATCACATGTTGGATCCATTTCTGTGGGCAGTTGCAATGGGTTTTGTCTAGAGAAATCATTTCTAAATGGTCAACACGATAATGATGGCATCCTGCTTAACATGATAGTGCAGATATTTGGCAGCTTCAGGACTAGTTTTGAGATTATTAAATGAGTTGATCAGTATGAACCACTGTATTATATTTTCTCTTCCTGTTTGCTGAAGCTGTATATGTTCTTCTTTCTAATATACTGCAGGTTTTTTTATACTAGGGTTTTTGAGAATGCTGGTCAGCTGCCTTTACCTTGGCACAGCACCAAACCCAGATACATATTTTTTTGTTGTTCTTGGCTTCATGATGATTTATTGGCATACCCCTTCCGGGGAAGTAATTGTCAAGCTACTTGTTTTTGAAATGGCTTTTCTGGACAAGAATAAACATAGTGCTGTTTTAAAGGTGTCTTTCTAGAAAGTGCAAAATCACTGATAGAGACACTGATATGCCTTAGCTTTGGAGTTCAGCATATCGGAACCTTGATCACCTTATTCAGAATTTGAAACATGAATGTAATTCATGTGGTAATATTATCAAACTGAAACCAAATAAAAGTTTCAGTTCAGGAAAAAAGGTGTTCAGATCTAAAGATGTACTTCAGTGTTCTGAATTGAGGAGAGTTTACTGTAGTATTTCAGTCAGTCAAGGTTTAACAGAAGGTGTTGTTTTGATTGCATGTTGTCTAAATCTGTCTTGTTTAAATGTAATCACTTTCAGGGCTTTTCCCTCCTTTCAAGCATCTACTATGGTATAATTACAAAGAGGATTTATACCTACTGTATTAATAGGAAATACATATTTTATCTATGAACTTCCATGAAAAACACCTCACAAAGTTGTGATGATGCCAGATATATAAATGAGACCTATGGCAGAGAGAGTTAAGCCTAATGACAGAGAGAAGGTGACTCTAGAGACCTAGACCAGACTCAAAGCTGGAAAGGTCACACTGGTGTAAAGAATGCAAAGTGGGGATCATATCCCCTGTGCAGAGACCCAGTGCATGCAGTGTATCTCAAAAGGTAATGTAAAGAAGGGCCCTCAGCACTTACTTTGTTTGGAGCCTGACTTGCCTCTGTGGTAACTGTCCTGTCTCTGTAGCTCTTTAGAGCAGGGATCTTCTATCCCATTTTTTTGCATCACTTAGCATAAAAGGGTTCATTCTTGGTTGGTTCTGCAGTAGGGGAGGGGGAAATAAATGATGATAAATTATTGTACACTTAGTGATGTACAGCCATTTATACCAACTGAAGATACAGTCTACTACCTTTAAGAGCAAAGTGCCATTTAAAGTTATTATTTACAGCCAAGAATGCCTATATGTGGGGAAAAAAAATATGTGCGCATTAACAATTTTTAAATAGAAACAAAAGTGAAATAAGTGGTATACTCTGCTCATTATTGTTAGATTTGCTAACCTAGCATAATTTCATTTTCATTATTAACTTTTAAAAGAAGTGCTAGGATCTTTTTAACGTAACTTCTCTAATTAATTTTCTTACAAATCTAATTCAAATGTAAATAATTTGTGAGACAAGAATGTGCAATTGTTCCAACAGCTAATATTTAGAAATACAAGTAAAATGTGGCTTGTAAAAGGGAATTGGAGATTTCAGTAGACCTGACATAATACACGTTTTGACCCCTGTGGCTGCATACCTAAAACCTTGGTGAATTGAAACAAGAGGGCTAAATGGTAGGTTAAGTGATGCTGCCTATTGAATCTCTGTTCTGGGAGTGCTAGTGTAGAACACACCCCCTAAATGGAGATGCCTATCGATTGAGAGTGTGAAGAGTGATCAGGCTTTCCATGAAAAATATATGTGTCTTGAAATGTGTTCAGATATGCAATGTAGTCTGAAATAAAACCTCAAAGCATTTTATTTGTGAAGTGTTTTAAAAATATTTTTATTGTGCTACAGCAGCAGGAAGTTTTGCATTTTTACTTTATTAGTATACCCTCTTAGCTTAAGGATCAGAGTTCAGGTGATACAGTCATACTTAGAATCAGAAATAAATGCTGTTAAATGTGGGTGGGCTATTGTCTAACTTACTTTGTAAGTTTTGATTAAAAAATCAAGGAGCTGAGTGGAACAGATCTTGTATTTTAATTAAAAGAGTTGAGAGATTTCTTGCTACTCACAGAAAATGAGAATATATTGGGGTTTTTGTCCTTTGCACTGTATATGTATGTTGCCTGAAACTTTGATTACCTCATTGCTTTGTAGTCATGAGACACAGACAACCTGTTGGGATCATCCTAAAATGACTGATCTCTTCCAGTCCTTAGGTGAGTGCATTTCTTAAAATAAACCATTATGTGATGTTTATTCCATGAGTAAAAACCTGCATTTGTCTGCTGACCACATCTAAATTGCCGTGAACCATGTGTAATGTCCCGTTTTGCAGGAAACCTACTGCCTTGATCCACATCATGTTTATTGCCTTTCAGTAATTTTAATTCTGAACAATATGCTCTGACTTAATGCTTTAGTGCAGTATCTTGTTTATTTCTTTTAAATCTGTGAGGGATTGTCCAAGGATGCAGGCTGTCTACGTGTTTAAAGTAGGATGCTAGTCTGCAGGGAACTAATTTTTGTAATAAATCAGAACAACTATGCTATCAATAAAGGCTAGACTGTATTATGTTTCAAATAGTTCAACATGCCCTACTAACATCTACATTTACTGTGAAATCTCCCTTTCTAAGAAGGCTATCTGACTGTCTCTGTAAACAGTTCTTTGAAAAAGTCATGGCACAGAAATTATGCTTTAAAAAGCCTTTTTTCCTATTACTTTGTTTCTTTGCTGCCCTTTGTTTCTTGTATGTTGTCCGATGGAGTTGTAAATTGTTTGAGAAACATACTGTATTTGAGCACTTGTCTGGAAACTATTTAATATAGCATAATATGTACATAAAACTCTATTATAGGTACTATGTATTGCATGTGCCAAGATAGTGTCAGGATTTCTGGTGTGCCAATCTCTGAAGGCCCTGGACAGTCAAAGTCAGGAAACTTTACTTGCAGAGGGATTGTACTGAAGTCCTAACTTCTCAGGTTTATTTGTTTGATATATCAGGCTTTTTCCAAAATATGACAATTTATATGTGAAGAAAACATATGGACTCACGTTTCTGTTTCTGCTATTTCAGCTGACCTGAACAACGTACGCTTCTCTGCGTACCGTACGGCCATCAAAATCCGAAGACTGCAGAAAGCACTATGCTGTGAGTTTGGCTACCGAGACAAATTGTTTCTCAACAGTACTTTGGGAAGGGAGGGTCGGCTTAAGCCTAACAACATTAATGTTTAACAAGGGACCAGGTACGTCCTTGACAGATTGTCAGCCAACAAAACAGCAGGAAGAATTCCCAATATTAGGTGTCATTATTGCATATTAAAAAGTCAATTAATGAAAAAAGTGGTACAGCAGGTAAGTTGCAGTGGTATGCCCAGAAAGAAAACGGGGTGAAGTAGAAAAAAAAAATGGAAACTGGACAATTTTGCAAGGAGACGTGAGCTGTGGATGAGTGTGAAGGTCTCTGATTTCAGACCTTTTGAAAGATCTTGGCAACAGCTGGTATAAAAATGTTACACAACATTACTAAATCTTCTTGTTTAAACTCAGGAGTCCTTGCTGTGGAAGGACTTTTCAACCCTGAAGGGTGTACAGTACTGCAGTCTGAGTAGGAGCACAAGAAGGACAAAGTCATCCTAAAGATGCAAGCAAGGAAGCAGTTGCACAAAGAGGGGTCCCTTCCTGCCCTCCAGGTGGTTGGTTTTCTTTCCAGCCTAGAAGATAGAAGCCTGATCTTGGCAGTAGCTTCTTGGCTGGACTTTAGATACACATTATACCAAATGAAGCTGTGCCTGAGATGGTAGCTAGCTGCTCCAGAAAGCTAGAGGGCATCTATGCAACAGCATAGACGGGCTCTTGAGAGTACCTCTCGCCACTTCTTCATATACTATGCTGGCTTCTCACAGAATTTCAAATCAAGTTCAAGATCTTGGGTTCAAGGTCTTACATTTGGAAGAAAGCAGAACCTGTCCTTTGAAAGATTGTTTGATGGTATTGAAAGAAAAACTGTATTTCTTTGGCACAGCCTAGAGCTTCTCTGTGCAAGAGATACGGTCACACCCAAGGCTGTAGTTTCATCCCCCAGCAAGACTAGAGAATGTCATGGGCTTTGTGCTTATCAGTGTGCAGAGTATAAAGTATGCATCAACATGTACCTGAAAACCACTAGTAAAGCAAGAAACCAGAAAACAAACTAAAATTCTACTTGTGCATGCTGCTCCCAAGGGAAAAGTGAAGAAAAAAAACCCAACAAACTGCTGGATGGATGGATGCTAACCGTGCTGCTTATGTCTTATGGGTTGTCTAGTGAACTGTATAGAACAAACTTCACTTTCATTACTTCTAATCAGCTTTGAGGAGGATCACACTTCCTGCTCTTGCTTTTACTGCAAAATGTATCAATTTATGTAATAACTACAATGATTAGCTCTCCTCATTCACAAGTTTCAAATGTATCCTCCTATCAAAGTGAATATTGTCTCCAGTTTTAGGGGAGGGCAATGGAAAGAGGACAGAGGGAAGTAGTAAGAAGTAAGGAGAATATTCCAGTTTGAAAGAGCCAGGAGTAAAGCTGCCATCCCTACAGATCAAACCTGCCTCATTTTTTATGAAACTGTTTGGTCCATCTCTCTGTTTCATGGGAGGAAACAACAGCCAAAAAAAAATTTATTAAATGCACATATTTGACCAAGGATTGGTTTAATTTGTGAGAACACGACATTGTGAGTTTTTAAGAAAGACTATGCACAAAGCTAAATGCTACAAGAATTTTCTGTCTATGAACATCATAGAATGTCTATGAACATCTATGAATATCAACTGCACAACTCATTATGATCTGGCACAATTTTAAGACTGCCTTCAAAAATAAAATCAATGCTGCTCCTTTTGTCATTGTTTGCTTAGCAGATTATTTCTTGCCAGGGAACAGGTCAAATTCCCTTTGACTGTGATGATGGCCTGTTTCTGTCCTGTTAATGACTGCTGAGATAGCCAAAACACATCATGTGCTAGCACCTCCTCTCTGATCAAGGGGAGAGTGATTAAGCCCTGTCTAGAATGATTTTCTTGTCTTTTTTTTTTTTTTTTTTTGCTTGTTGTTGGGGGCT